CATATACTGGTGTTGCATCAACAGTAATAAAAGTAAATTAAAGTTTGCTCACAAAGCAGCAGGAGTTAACGTTTGCAGGAAAATTAAATAACACATATTCTTTTAATTTGTGTAATATAACAGAAACATGTGTATATATTTCAATTTATATGTAAAACACATATATTATTTTGTTTTATACCTACCCAAAATATTTTGAGCATATGAATATATAGAGATACAGCGTAAGAAATAAAAGTGAACTTTTGCTTGTATAACGGGAAAGAATAATCTCGAAAACAATTTTAAGCAATTTTAATAGATACCATTTCTAATAGAATATATACAAACATTAAATATTCAGCAAAATACTTTTCTTTTTAGTAAATGAAACGCTACTATGATCATAGAATATTTCATTCTTTGAACTAAATACTATAATTATTCAATAATAACATTATTACGCTACATAATGCAATCAAGTCAAAACCACGCAAGCCACATTAACCTCAATAAACATTTTTAGTCTTGTTTTGTTCTAGTTTCTCCTTTACTTTGTTCTCTGTAATTAGCTTTATTAATTCACTTGTGAATGAATAAAAATAAGTCAGAAAAAGCTTTCTTGTATTTATTTTAAATTCATAATGCGACCCAATTGAATTATTTTAGTTCATACAAAAGATTTTTTTATTATATCAGTTGAAAGACTTATATACATGATTATGAAGATTTTATTTATTTAAAATTAATCAATATAAACTGAAAAAAATACTATTCAACAGAAGTTATGGCTTGCTTGACCAAAAATTTTGAATTCGGCCAAAATGTTTCATAAATGGTTGATATGTAGTGTTCACATAGTAATAATATTTTACCCATAAGTGGAAAGGCATAGACCACTTAATCACGATGCTTAATTTTCTATAATATTTCGTTTGCAATCAATGAATACTATTCAAAGGTTCTAACTACTTTTATGAAATTCAAATTTTATTTAAAATCAAAGACTGTCACGTTATCATACTTACCGCGAAAGCATTCCACAGAGCAACATCTAAATAGTAAGGGTTAGAGAATTTATTCTCACCTCTGCCCTTTTACCCTTTGGATCAAATAACCGTTTATTAGATTTTAGATAAAGTAACCTGATATATAGGGTTAAGTCGCACCATTATTGACTAAGGCGATTGGCGTCATATGGAACGCCAGGTGGCTATCAAATATCAAGTAAGTGACAATAAATATTTGTAGGCAGCAAATGTATTATTCTGCAGGGCAGAAAAAAAAATAATGGGGTCTATGACTCTACTATTATTGAGTAATATACACTACGAAATATCAGAAAATATACTGTGACACTTGTAATAACCCTTATGAAGTGGTGTGGGTGTTTAATAATGGGGATTAGTGACCAGATTCCCAAGAATATATTGTAGCGAATATATGTCAAAATATCGTAGAGAAATCATATACACCGTTAAAAAATACTCCTCAAGCAATGCCCTTCCTGAGGAACTATAGAGAATTTTTCATGATGACACAAATTCCCAGACAATAATAGTATGTAGTTCAAAAATATATATAGATAAATTTCTTTTACCATGCCTAAACTCTTGGTCTGTACCTCATTGGATCTTAAAACAAAACTGATTGGATTCATTTTTCAATGTCTGACGTTAAGTGGGCTCAAGTTATCGGTGAGCTATGAGTTATGACGGTTCCATAAGGAAATATCCACATCGGTTTTTTCTATTTGCTGAACAGAAATCAATGTTATTAATACAGCTCTTATTCATGCCATTGTTATGTATTATTGTACATATATTTGAACAAGGAATAGTAACTAAGAGAAATATTGCTACTTTATATTATTGACTAGCTAGCCCCGCGACCGTACTTGTAGAACGTTATAGATTGTAATCAGATTAGAAAAAAACAAAAACTAAATTTTCAGTTAAGCTCAAGCTAAGGTTTAAACTATGTCGGAGATTTGGGCGCACAGTCAAACAGATAAAAATCTCACAATCATTGTTTTGGGGTCGGTCAAAGAATAGTTGTAGAAACCGATATTGGCACCGTACGTTTGTTTTATCTCACCAGGGCTAATCTGTTTTTAATGTCTTACCTGTTGAGATTTAATGTCTCTTCAGAACAGATAATGGCGATAGTACCTACCTACGTATTGGCAAGCGATCTAAGACCGACCACATGCAATTCAGCTGCTTAGTGTTCTTTATCTTTGGTCCTAACACAAATTCTAGCCATATCTTCAAATATTTTAACTGCATTTACATTTTTATCTATTAGGTACGAAACTATCACCACGCTAATGTGCGTTATAAATACGAAATTGGGTGTATATTCAAAATAACACAGGGTATAATAAAAAAAAAACAAATTATATTATTTTAGTTTGCGACTAAAACTATCTCGTCTGATGACTGAAATGCAGTAAAACAATTATTCATTGCCTATTATAATGAAACAATAATTTAGGTTAGATAATAAAAATAAAATAACATATTTAATATGAATTTTTTACCACTATAATGCTTGTTACATCGTTATTTGTGTTGTTATTTTACAGTAAGATTATACAAAATTATAATTTTTCCGACACAAATAATGCTTTTTGCATCTTTGTCTAATAACTATTTTAGAATTCTTCGTTTAAAATAGCATTCTATTCATACCAAGTAATTATTTTTTAATTTCAAAATAAATATCCTAAGATACTATTGCGAGACTCTCAACCAATGATAAAAAACATAAGACTCTAAAAATATATATATAATAAGGTAAAGGTAAGGTAACATTTAATAAAAGCAACTAATGGAATACAATTGAATTTTCTCTAATTGCGCTTAAATAAATAATAGATGATGCGAGGAAAAAGTATTCTTTCGGTAGCGGCTACTACATGGCATTGCAAATTGAAGTTGTAGATACGTAATAAACTAAGAACATTTTATTAGTACTATCACAAAATCTTTTAGAGCGGTAGACAAATGGGAGATGAATGTTCGCTGTCCCTTGATCCCTCGTGAAGCCGTGTCTGCATCACAACTATCAATAATTCAAATCCAATCTGTACCTAGAGTGTGGTTTGTGCAATACGAGTATAACTATTTCGTCAACTGAGTTGTCTGCTAAAGTCACACTACTCAAGTTTGCATACCATTTTGGAGATTAACTGTATTACGCAAAAGAGTGAGATTCGACGGATAGATTTAAATAAGTTTTAAAACACGTCAGAGGGGTGTCAGAAATTGTCATTTTTATTAGGTGTTTTTTAGTATCTGTATTGCGCATCTTTGCCTTAAAGAATTAATTCAACTTGTGTTAATGTAACTTAAAGTAAATCCATGTTAAAAATGTTCTTGAAAGCTGACCAGTACTGTTGGTATTAATTGAGTAACAAATACTCAAAATATGTAAAAATCGTAAAAATTTTTTTAAACAATTTAATCGGCAGATAGAGTGATGACTAAGCATTTTGGTAATTGTACCAAAATGATCATTACATAGTATAAAATAAAGTCCCCATCACTGTCTGTCCCTATGTATGCTTAATTGTTTTAAACTACGCAAGGGATTTGAAGCGGTTATTTTTAATAGATAGAGTGATTCTAGAGGACCGTTTATATATGTACAATACATGTATATCCGTGCGAAGCAGGGGCGAGTAGCTAGTAATCAATAAAATAAATATATACATTAGTATAGCCTCAACAGTAAGTTAATGTAATAAAATAAGTAAATAAAAATATTAAATTGACTTGGATTTCTAAATATACGTATCTGGTAATATCTTAATCTATATAAAATAATTAATTTCTATTTAAAATTTTATCATTTATAAATTTAGTGCAAATTATATTATTTGATTTGTACTTTCGAAATATAGCTCTGATCTTTATTCTGTTTGTCACGACATTATTTTCTTTTGCTTAGTCTCTGAAAACCTATTATTATTATATTATTGGCTTTCTCTAGAAATGTACTGTTGATTTAATGTATTGTATTCTAATGTGTTTGTTTTCTAATAAATAAATAGATAAATAAGAATGAAAGTACCTAAGCATTTTTTCCCAGTTAACTACTCTATATAACAATATAAATTAGTCTCTGTCAGCATAATAAAATATATGACAGATTAAATATTGTGTGTGGAAAATAAAACTGAATCTGTTTTAGCCAGTACTTTATTTTTACCTTTTAAAAATTCAAATAACTTATTAAAAATACCGGCAAAATATACAACAAATTACTCGGATACCCTTTTTGTTAAAATCTGTTTTCATTCTTTATGGGCACCGCAATATTTTGTTGCATAGTTCGTACAAAGCTTGTTACATTGTTAGTCCTCATAGGAACAAAAATTAACAACATTTTACAAAAAAAGATATAGAATTTTTACTCTGTTGTAACATTTTTACTCTATCATTATTAGATACTTTTGTAAATCTACACTAATCGCAGAATTATAAAAAGTGAAACACCTTTTTGCGGTAACATTCTGGAGGACTAAGATTTTTTAATATACTTGGAATGATTAACAAATAATTTCAAGGCTCATCTGAATTTCAGTGGTGACCGTGGGCTGTATATTATATATAAACAACAAACACAATCATGTCGTCACGTGACTCTCGTATACCACTCGTGCTTTGCCGCTCTGGAGAAATAAGATATCATAACCTCATCCACAGTATTTATCTGCTCAGTAACTGTTACAAACAAAGTTGCTAAGCGGCTGAAATAGGTAAGATAAAGACTAAGAGGACTTTGAATAAAGTCTACCTCAAATTAGAAAAAAAGATATTTGTTTCTATTCTTTTGTTGCCGAATTTTTGTACACAAAATGTGACAATGGCAATTCCTTACTAAATAATGAATAATCGACGTCGATTAATTTGATAACAACATGTAAAACAACTTATCTGCATCCGAAATTGGCTCTGCCAATATACCGTCTTTTCTTACGGTATTAAATAAAAGTATTTTCTCCTTTCTTATAGCAAAACGGCGAGGATGTGCACCCACGTATCAGTATGGAGATGAAGAAACATGAGAAGCCCGGCAGCCTGTCGCCAGTGAAGCCGGCGCTCAAGAAGGAGAACGACGACGGCAAGTCCTCGCGGTCCAGCAGCAAGTCAGAGAAGGAACTGAAACTGCCCTCGGAAAAGTCACCAAGCGATGATGGTTCAGGATTAAGAAAGGAGCGACGTCTGTCAAAAGCTAGTGAGAGTTCAAAGGATACATTTGACAGGTTTGTTTATCCAGACTAATATTGTTAATCTGTGTGTCTATAAATCTGTTTGTTACCTTGTTACGGTTGAACCAATCTAATGACATCTATATTTTATATATGATGGCCTCGGTGGTCTAATGGTTTAGCATGACGCTTTACTTCCAGTGATCGCGGGTTTTATTCTTCGCATGGTACATACATTTGTATTGTAGCGGTTTGGGTGTTTTCTATGTATACTATGTATGTTTTTACAAAAAAAATGTATCCAAATATTCTATCAGTTACCCATAACTCTGCTTAGCTTGGAACTAGATGGCGTCGTGTGTATTGTCAAGTGATATTATAGAAGGACGGACATAGGCCACCTTTTAAAATAAAATAAACAAAACTGACAATGTCGCGGGTAAAACTCGTTATTATGTCTACGTTCTTACGTTTTTGTATAATTGTAGGCGTGTCATACATCGCTCGCTACGTTGCAGCGTTGTATTATAATATGACGATCCCTTGATTTCATACGCCAAACTACAATGCAATGTAAATGATTCCGTGAACTTCGTACGACCTACAATAGTGGTAATGCAATATTTTTCTCTCCTTTTATAGTTTAATAAATAAATAGGAAATATGACATATATGTATGTTGTTAGTTTATTTATTTGAGATTGTGAAGGACTATTTTAATTTTTTATCAAATCAGAAATAATTTATCATGTAGGACATTTTAGTCGCTATTGAACGTCAGGTTATTTTTATTACTATTTTTCCCTGCCGTCCAGTTCAATATACAGAGTCAACTGAGAACTGGCAAGAAACTCAACTAAATTTCCTTTTTCTTAAAAGCTGGTTTATTATCGAGGGCGAGGTGGCGAGAAACTAGTTCATCCATAAAGTTATGATTATGCAATCACCCGGGAGTCTATATTATCATCATGCTGTAAGAAGAATCATCCAGTAATTAGACGACGAAAACGTTCAAGTAACAAGTTAAGCAATAAAAATAAACATGGCGTCGATACAAATAGAACACGCCCAACTAGAATGATCGATTGTAACCAAACCAATGTCTGGATAATAGCCCATAATAAGTTGGGCAAGTTCGTGTCGAGAGGTATTTTGTTGGGGTTCGTTGTCACGCACGGTGATCACGGAATTTGGGTATAGTAGGCACTTATCTAGGGTTACTAGTGACAGGAATTTTCGTGACAAGTCCCGAGTTTTGACGATGGTCAGAGAAACAAGGAGAAGTTGTAACCACCTAGATATTTTAATTAAACTACATTTTTTTATTCAAAAATATGAATACCAAAAAAGCGTTATCATAAAGAATTGTACTAGATCATATTTTAATTTTATTCATTTAATAATATTAAGTTTTATTCGATGTTATTTATTCAATCAAAATAAATGATTTCAAACAAATTTATTATTATCTGATGACAGACATATCCACTAGGTACTTTTAATTCTATTTGACGGCGAATATTTTATATACCTAATATTAACAATTAATAGTATATATTGTTATATTTAAATAATCAGTTAAATACATAATATATTTATAGTATATGGAACAATATACTGAGTAGTCACACATTGTCGGGAAATCCCATAATTTAATCTGGTAACCCTACATTTATCAGATCCGGCCGTATATTCGGTGTAATAGCTATTAAGCTACATGATTTATTGGCCAACTAAACACAATCACCAAAACAATGCTTTCGATTAAACATTGTGTTCGCATAGACCTACCGATATATTACTTGACCCCGTTTAAGACAATGTCCTTTGCTGACTCGAGAAGGGACATATCCCTTAGGCAACACGGTGAAGGAATTCATATTATAATATGATATGAAGAATAAAAATATGGAAATGAATATGGTTGGTAGAAAGTTGACGTACCGGAGTCAAACTGTTAAACATAAGGTTGATGTCAAATCGAGCACATTTATGAGTGTACATATTTTGACAAATTATTATGATTGTGATAATTCTATTTTCAAATGCAGTTTAATTATACTTTGTTAATCCTCATTTTCTAATTACTAAAGCCCTATATTTATGTAATAAATCTTTACATCTATTATATAAATATAACATTATCTTGCCATATTACATCTTTTGGCCTGTTGTTAAACCCAGGTGAAACTGTTTTCTAATTTGGCTTTACTTTTTGTTTTACATTGCCATAAACTAATCACTGCATAGTTAGATTTTTTGGTTTGGTGCCACTGAAATGCAGCAGTATTTTTACAAAAACATACTAAAAGCTGAGTGGAGCCATTTCAGTGCCTATATGTGGGTATATATAACATTTAAATCGGGACATCACTAGTGCCACATACAAACCTATTTTTATGTAACATCGTGGCTATAAATCGGGATACATGACCGGAACAAGTGTCGTCCTCTGATACTGATTGGTTTAGCCATTTCGGCAACGAGGCAGAACAAATGCTTCAGTTGCTTTTTAATCGAACATCAATATGAAACAGCGCGCGATTTAAATTCAAAATAAAATGGTGAACAGAACTTTAGTCTAGTTAGATTTTTTTTTCTTTTTATGTAACTGGCAAACATGCCTAGGAGTCGCAGTCGTCTATATGTATATAAGGCCAGCACATTATTATATTTTTATTGTCTATGGTTGTACTCGTAAATAATAGTAATATGCTATTATCTGATTTTATTAGAACAACTCATAATTATAGTCAACTAGACAGCAGCTAATTAAAAACTTTAAACTTTTATGCTACAAAGTCTAGTTTTCTGTGTTTTCTCTAGTGATGTTACTGCACACACACTTGACATAGTTTTATACTAATGACGTAGGTATCCGTAAGCTAATGCTGTTTTCTAACACTATTATTAACTTAATATATATACTTATGAAACTCAAAATGGAAACAAAATCTTTTTAGAGGCTGTTTTCAAATCGATTACCCAAAAATGGTCTCATCTTAATTTAACAGAATTTATTGTACCACAAATTTATACATATCGACAACTATTTTTAAAATAATTAAGGTTTACTCCTATTATTAACATTCATAAGCAATTAGGCTTCATTTTTGTTAATCAAAACATATGTACTCAAATTTTAAAAATAGCGCCTTTAAAATAAATATGGTAATAATAAAGATCAAAAACAAAAACGTTAATGAAATTTATCTAAGTTTCTTAATACAATTATTATTACTTTGTTATATAATAAATAAATGTACAAAACGTAACGTAAATATACAACAATATATAAAACATTCAATCCGTCGAAACATTCAAACATTTAAATATTAAATATAATTTAAATACGAAATAATATAGGTATTTATTCATTAGAATGTACAGTTTATCTAATTTCTACCAAATTATTTCACAGACAAGACTCAAGATCGACAAACCTATCAAGTCCCAAGGTGTCCAGAAAATATTTCACAAACTGGCGTCAAGCATGTGATAAAACGAAGGATAAAACTAAAGAATTACTCAAACGCTGGCGAACGTTACCGGAGGCTGAGGCTTCGGAGACACAGATGCAATCTGCAGAGAGCACGGAGGAAGAAAAACATCATGGCTGGAGTGTCCACGTTTGGAGTGAGTACCAATATTTATTTGTTCAAGGAGTTCAAGTAACCATTACGCTAATTGTTTTTGTAGAAGTTTAATTTGTGAAAAACTATCAATACACGTGGTGTATGCATGAGCATAAATTTTTTTGAAAGCTCTTTACATTCTATGCTTACGTATACAAACTAATCGTAATATACAAACTTTTAACTAATTTTGGCTTTGCATTGATATTGTCAGTTAAACCTAACTACTGTATAGATAGGAATAGATTTATGAAAACACCACGGTTAGAAATAGCTATCTAGGAATATAATTCAAAGTAACAACAAATTTAGGCTCTGTTACAAATAAATGTATTTTTATGCAAATATTGCCGTTGTCGGCATATTAAACATTGATTAGGACTATTGTATTATCAACTCTAATTAGATGTGATATTAATGCTTATTTAGTCTTTTCATAAAGATTTTTAACGTTTTGTATTGAAAATTTATTCCTGCATTACCTCAATTTAAACCAGTAATGTACCAATTGAAATCAGCTTCCTGAAAATTCAATTTCAACTCGTTGAAAATTCACTTAGTATTTCATAAAAGCAAGTGGCCTATATGTTTGTCAACCACATTATAGATACGAGAATTTCTATAAAAATAGGCATATCGATATATGAGAAAATAATGTTACAGAATTATACTAAGATATATTTAGTCACTGTGGAGAATACAATGGGCCAGAAATATTTTACATTGATATAAGAAACAAATGTAATAAATATAAAATCATTAATGTTTTTTCATACATTATATTAAACGCTGTAACAATTTAAGATTTGTACCAAAAAACATTTTATTGTAATCCAACAATATCTACTGTTTAGATTCTTAGTAGTAGATGCATATTAGATGAGTAAAATATTAATCAACGTTAATTTTGATCTATCAAACATAAATTTTGCTCTTTAATCAATGAAAATGCATGAGACTTCGTATATACCTATGATGGCACGATATAGTGGAGTTTCAACAAAAAAGTAACACAATTTTCCCGATAAAGAACACTGTGTCTGGAAAATTATGGTTACTTTTACTAAGACTTAAGACTATCTATGTAGTCTGTGTGAGTTCATGAATTTACTTATGAAGTATGTGTATAAGTTTTAAAGGAACACTAAACTGTAATATTATAATATTGCTATGCAAGTATATTAAACGTAGTCTATAGACGGTTACCACTGTCCATCTGTTAAGCTATCAGCATGATTACATTCTATTTTCATAAAAATATTACTTCCGTACCAATATCGATATCCCCAACGTCACATGTCTAAACGTAACATTAACGCGACTCAGAATTTGGCTACTTTATCGCTCTCGGTGCGGCGCAGCGCAGTGTGAAGCTTGAAAATCCTCTTTGCTTACCTACTCAGCGTGTGATATAGTATATGCCGCTGGATAATGACATTATTGTAGAAAGAGAATGAATCCGTTGAGTAGATGTTTTTTGCGAAAATATTAAAGGACTTATTTTATTCCAAATAGAATTTAAATTCTAAAATTCGTAACTTATAAGGAATATTCCAGGAATAGTGTTTCGTATGTTAAATTAGCATCATCCAGAAAATAGAAACAGAAATGCTAGTAAACACGAATTTTATGACAAAATTCGGTATATAAATAATCGTTTAAATTTTATGGTTTTAAAACATTGAAATATATGTCGAATTCAAAATATCATAATTAATAAACCTTATCCTTTTTTAAGTATGTTGATGGTAATGAAAGATGATATAGAAGTAAATGCAAATAGAAGTTCAAAAGAAAGAACAATCCGCTGCCAACACTAGCTTACAAAGTTAGCAAATTGTACCATTTACAAGTAACCCCATTACGCTGACACGAGCCAAGTAAGTAAACCGACCAAGCGCATATTGGGCACGCAAAATTTTGTTTCTATAATGTTTGGTATGAAAATTAATACAAAATAAGCTGAAAAGAAATTAGAAAACTGCAATAGCCAAATAAGAAATCGAAGACGTAAACAAATGATCCCAAAGATATTTGGTCAATAATGGACCCTGAAAAGGTATACCACGAAGAATACGTTTAGTATTATTTTCCACAGTTCCCTTCGATCAGCATTCATAACGTGATGTCGCCAATATTTCAAACCATCAAAGTCTTTGCACGCTACACTCCTGAAACTTTGTGGGCAGAAAACGAACACAATTTTCAACGCTCGACCGAGGGATAGTTTCTAGAAAATTGTTCAAATATTGTATTCCATTTGAAAGGTAATTTCAAAAGTTGCCTTCGGATATAGTCATACCATACGTATCCAGTATCGTTCACAGATTTTTAATAAGAGGTGAGACGCATTTGTGAAGGTTTTTGTCGAAAATGTAATTGCTGTAACTCATTTCTGATAGTTTACTATTATCCGTTTTTAGTTAATGTAATCTAGCTCACTCTTAAAAAATGTAGATTTGATACAATGAAAGGATTTCTCAAATCGGTAGAGTAGTGCCGGAATTTACTTATAACACAGATAACATAATATTACATAAACAACATCCACTCTCTATATTAAGATATATATTGCAGTATAAAATAAATAAACTTCATACATATAGGAAGTGATAATATTTTAATTAAACTACAGTATTATATATTTATTATATGTTATGTATTTTATATACATTTACATGCGCGTTAGAATACACATCAACATTTACTAAAATATGATATCTTCGTTTCTAAATCTATATTTTTAATTTGAGTGACTAGAAATTATTTGGGTGGTTTCTTTTTGAAGCGTTTTTTGGCTTGTTTAATGAAGGTAGTATCATTTCCTTGCAATTTTATATTCCGACTCATCATATTCTTGAATTTATAGAAACCTTTAACTTTATTATTGCTTCCTCGTGTGATTCGCTTGAGAGTATCATTGGATATTGTAGATTTATCATAAATTTTCAGCTTATCCTTGTTATATTGAATTGTTATTGTTTTTTCTTTACCTACAGTTTCTTTACCCATTTTTTCGCTTTCATAAAACAGTTCTAGAATAGTAAACTGGTCGTTGAATTTTCATATTATTACAGAGCCTATGAGTTTTTGTTACTCATACACTTGTCACGTTTGGACTGTCATTTTCACGGATAGATATTTGTTCCGAATTTGTTTTTATTCTAGTCGGTTGAGCTGAAATCTCCTTTGATATATGTCGAAATTCTATTACAATAATAATATTATCTCCAGACATTACAACTTAAGTTGGATTATTAATCATATGTATTTCAAAACGAGGTTTCATCGAGAGATTTTGTGTATAGATAGAGCTCTATCTCAAGAATTTCGGCAGTCAAGCTGTTTACTTTGTAAGTAGTATTTCGGTTTGAATTTCTTGGTATGTAACAAAAATATATTTAATAATTTATTGCCATACTTTTAATTATGGTCCACTACTATCCTAGTTATATTAAATATCTTCACTAGTTTACAACATTTGAATTAGTAGCGGGTATGCGAGGAGGTAGGTACTGAAAATGCCCGGAGGTATCATAAACATCTAACACTATTCATAAAACTACGTTATCATAACCACTTAAATTTTATGCGCTCTCTTACACAGGATTATGGCTGTTGAAATTTTAAAACTTTAATATTTACGATATACTCAACTATAAAGTTGTGTTTTACTTCAAAAAATGTATAATACTTTATAACAGTTAAATATGGGTTTTAAAAAAATTAAAGTTTCAGTCAAAATTTATTTTATGCATAAATTATAAATCAGATCACTTATGATGTCACTTACGCCTCCGTCTCTGATAAACTTTTTTCTTAAAGACCAAGTCTATTGTTCAAAAGTTAAACTATACGCAGGATTAATGGTGTCTTAACACACAAGTCATTGTACTATTTGCAATTGGTGAACGTTTTTTTCATTAGACATATAGAATAGTGTGAATATTTGTTGTCCGGGTACCAGTAGAAGATGATGGGATAAAGATAAATTCAGGACAGTTAGCCTATTGTAGCATTTCACCGAATTAACCACTATGTCTTTCAGCGGATATCGTGTAAAGGTAAGCTAGAGTATATTGCTAGAAATGAGGCCGATATTCCCTATTATATAACGCAATTCTATTCTATTACATAATTAGACTCCTCATAATAACTCTTACAAGTTAATAAATTACTTACATACAAAAGGTAGGTAGCCGAAACTAAAAGAAAAATACGGCCGATACTTGTTGTTAAGGATGACGTCAATATGTGAAAATCGATTTAAGTCGACAAAGCAGCGTAGTGATTACGTGAAATATTATATAATAATGTTGAATTGTAAATATGTTGTGGCATATATTGGCAGTCGAACAGGTGGATATACTATTATTATAATTATTACTAGGGCTATCAATTGAATTGTAAACAATAGTCTAGATTGTAGAGGTTCTAGGTAGAAGGCCATTTTAATTATTATATAAGAATTTAATTATTGTATGCTGTTGACTATAGTTTTACTTTTATATATTGTAAGTACCACAGAGTTTATCATATGTATACTACGGTACAAAGGTCTCATTTAATTATGGAAGAGTTATTACTTACTCTTAGCACTCAGGTTAGGTTAGGTTTGTTCTAGAGTTTAATTTTGGGCTATCCTTTTCTTACACCGATATATTTATATTGGAATATACTACATATTCCAAAGAAAGAAAATTTCTGTCTAATTTCATGTTAGTAGGTAAGCTGCCTTGATTCTTCTTTATAATTTATTTTTGATAATCGATTCATATTTTAATAATCGATTTTAATAAAATTTAAGTAATGAATTATTACTAATTTCTATACATTTATTACGGTAAAAAATTAGATACTTGGACAATATTAGATGATAGGCAGGACACATTTTCGACCTTCACCTGACTGCCCCTTATAAAATCATAAGTGAGGCTGATAAATATGATTTTGATTTATTTTATTAGATAATTTTTTTTATTACATCTTTCATATCTATGA